TCTTGCCTAGGGCAGCACGAAACCTAAATACACCGCTGCTCCTCGGCCGCTCTATAGCGGCAGCGGCTGATGAGAAGAGAGAACTGACACGGCGATTGCTGCTGTTGAAGGAGTAGAATCAGTGCCGCACTGTAGCTGTCCTTACTCCGGTGTTCTATCGAAAGCTCACTGCACAGAGCTCCAGTGTTTCTGAGCACCAGAGGTAGTTGGAGATCTCAATGAGTTGGAGCTTTCGATAGAACACCGGATCCTGCAGCTTCCTCCGCCCACCTCAGCTGCCATAGGCTGGGAGGAAGACTGCAGAGCTGCTACTGGCTGGAAGGACAACACGGGAGAAGCAGGACACCTGGGACATGGAGGATACATTGCTTTTTTCTGCATTACACTGCTGTCCTCTGTACTCTGCATCACACCACTGGCCTCTGCACTCTGCATTGTTACTGATCTCTGTTCTCTGTGTCACACCACTGACCTGGCGGAGTTAAGGGCGGGGCATGGTAGGGGTCAGGTGGGGCGACTGGTGGCGAGTAACTCTTAAGGCCTGGCTAGTAGCTCAGGACTTGAAATTTTGAGCCCTGTCCTAGAGTATTTAATACCGGGAGGGATTTTATTTTTAATATTCACCTGATGTTATCAACAAAACTATTTTCCAAAATTAAATTACAGTGAAAATAATACCAGGAGAGAAGGCAGACAGTGACAATTGTGATGACCCCTTATATTGGTGGCCAGTGGAAAATTGCCCCTTTGCATTGGTGGTTAGTGTAGGTGGGGGAACAATTTGCCTCTGCTCAAGGAACCTCATCAACCCCATGAGGAACCCTAGGTGAGAACGGCTGGTATAGAAACTCTACGCATTCTGTGTATTGTTACAGCATAAAATAACATACTAATGTACTGTAGCTGTTTTGTTCCAGGTTTAGGATTAATAAAATAAAAATAAATAAATAAAAACAAATCTATTAAATGAATAGGCCGGCAGGTGTGTCTTACGTTCTATATTTCTTGGCCACATATAGAATTACAGTCGTCGGGGTAATGGTTCTCTGCATACTGTATTTGAATTCAGTCATTCGATCTCTCCAGCTCATTGTTCATTCTTTTGCATGCATTCAAATTCAATCCATTAGACATATTTATTTTAATATGGTCACGAAAATGATCATGGTTGGGAGTAAACTATGGCATCTGATGGGTGGATTCTTTAGGGGTAATTGACATGGTCAGGGAAGAGTTATTAACATGAGGATCTATGAGTCTAAAGCAGATGGAAGATCTCTCTGAAGGAAGACACAACTTAAAACACTCAACCCAGTAAAAAAAATTCTGAGGCGACTGGAGGTCTTTGAGTTTCATCAGAACAGAATGAACAGCCCGGGTCTGGAGGTTTGTCTCGGTATCATAGCATTGGAGGTCATCGTTGGCGTGTATTCGAATGCCTTTATAATATTTTCTCTCACCCTTTCTGGTTGTAAAGGGACAAATATTGCACCATACAACAATATCCTTATTGCATTGAATGTCTCCAACATGTGCTTCATAACTGTGATGTCTGTGAACCTTCTGATGACCTTATTTTGGCCATCATTAAATGTAACCGACCTCTCAGGCATTTTAACCTATTTAACATTTTGCAGCATTACCTCCTGCTCCTGGCTCACTGCTGACCTGTGCTTCTTCTATTCTATAAAAATCCTTCAGTTCCAGTCCTCATTTCTTGCATGGATGAAGATGAAGATAGACAGAATGATACCTCTGTTGATATTCGTTGCGATCACCTCTTCTCTGTTGGAGAGTTTTATTGCATTATATATTTTCACTCAGGGATTATCCAAAAACTCAACCATCACTGCAACCGATATGATCTCAGACCAACAAAAGCTGAGGCTGAAATTCATGAACGTTGTCCTTGCAGTGACTTCCCCACCATTCCTGATTGCAATATCCACAACAGCTGCCAGTGCCGTGTCCCTCAAGCTGCACAATGATCGTATGAAAAGAAACATGGGCCACACCAACGTGAGAGATTACCAGAGTGCAGTGCAGAACATGGCCTGCCTCATAGTTCTCTATGCCTTGATTTACCTGGTCATGGTTGTATTTGCACTGGAAGTATTTGCAGATCGGAGTTGGGAGTACTGGATGTGTACGACGATCATTTTTTCTTTCTCAATGGTTCAGTCCATTCTCCTAATCAATGGTAATCCCAAACTCAGTGAAGCTTGGAGAAAAATGTTCACCTTCATGTAAACTGTTCACCAATGACAAAAATATAAACAATTTCTCCTACATGTACGCTGTTGTGTAACAGTGTACAATTCATTCCAATGGGTAGCGTCTCCCCCCATATGCTTTGATTGGAATATAGATGCCAGGAACTGATTTTCATTGTAAATATTCTGAAGCTCAATTTTAAAGAACTAAATCCAGATCCAACGTCCAGTGGCAGCTGGCTTTCATGCCCTCTTCATGCCTGCCCAGAATGTGGATGGACCCTCTAAAGCCTTGGTTCTCGAAAACTTTGGACATTTTTGCTATGCAGATATCGGGTGGCATTTGTGTACTCCTACCAATGAAGTTGGCATAATGCTTGTGAATGTAGTTGTACAACATTCACATTTTGAAGCATCGAAACATGAAGAGTGACTGCACAAAAAGACCAAGAGTTCCATTAAGTCTGCCCTCTTGCAGGGAATACCTCTGGTGATAACTAAAGATCTACATAGCGACATCAGGACCTCCTTCCTCCTGCTGGAGACCCCTCTAGTGATAGATCTATATAGGGGAATCAGGACCTCCTTCCTCCTGCTGGAGATCCCTCTAGTGATAATAAAGATCTATATAGAGGGATCAGGACCTCCTTCCTCCTGCTGGGGGGTACCTCTAGTGATAATAAAGATCTATATAGAGGGATCAGGACCTCCTTCCTCCTGCTGGGGGTCCCTCTAGTGATAATAAAGATCTATATAGAGGGATCAGGACCTCCTTCCTCCTGCTGGGGACCCCTCTAGTGATAATAAAGATCTATATAGAGGGATCAGGACCTCCTTCCTCCTGCTGGGGATCCCTCTAGTGATAACTAAAGATCTATATAGAGGAATCAGGACTTTCTGTTTCTGGAGATTCCTGAATTGGTCTGCCCTCAGAGAAGCCATCCTGCTTTGGGTTCAGCCAGTTTTTGCTTAAATAATCACTGATCCTTCTTTGTAGTAGTGATTCCATTAAAGCAGAACTATGAGGTGAGTGATTTACACTCATCCTCATCGTTAGAGCAGATGTGTTACATTGACACTGTCACAATTTGGCTCTATTGATTGTAAAATGAGAGAACACATACCATTGCTCGCTCACTTCTCGATCATCTCCCGGCAGAGAGACTGTCAGTCACCGCTCCCCGCAGGGATTCCCCCCTCCCCGTTCCGCCAGCGCTGACTGGAGCAACAGATGGGGAAGGGGGCAGATCCCGCTGTCAATCAGCCAGCTGGGTGGAACTCAATGGTTTTGTCGGGAACTTCCCTGGCAGCGGCGCATTCAGTATATAGCGGGCAATAGTTCGCTATATACTGAGCTTTGGGTCACGGGTGGAGGTTAGTATATGTCCTCCCGTGACCCTAAAGACAACTATGGTATAGAAAGGTTACCCCATAGTTCTCTTTTAATTCTACTACTACCGATGTTAACCTCTCCAGCGTGCAGTTTCCAGTTTTTCCCTAACTACCCTTCCTGCGGATAGATAGAATATTAGCTGTCTTCCGATAGAAGAGATTGTGTAATTGTACAATGTTGTCAGGGACCAGAGCACCTCCGGCTGCCACTCTGGAGCTGCAACCTGATCCTGCAGTTCCAGCGCTCGCCTGCAGGGGTCTGCCGGCAATTAGTCGCCACCTGATGCTGCTCTGGCAGGGTATTTAACCTCTCCCTGCAATGAAGCCTGCTTGCCATATCCTGTTACCAGTATCCTGTTTCTGCCTTGGACCCTGACTCCTGACCCGTACCCCTGAGTTCTCCCGATCTGTGGCTCCTGGCCCTTGCCGGTTGTATATAGTGTGGTTCTTATTTGTTTCTTGCGGGTGGTGGTGGGATTGCCTGTGTTTTTGTGGTTTGCTATATCCATTAAAACTATTATTTACAAAGATTGTTGTGGTATCTGCAGTGTGGTCACATATTCGGTTCACCAGTATAGGCACTTGCACGTGGCGTTGGGACACCCGTGCTCGGTAACGTGACGAATGTACACCGACACATTTGTATGCGTTTGTTATGATTTATTCCCATACACCTTGCGATTATCGTACGATAATCGCAAGGTGTATGGAAGGCGTGCAAACGTTTTTACTGTACGGTCGCACGTCTTTTGTCGAAGGAGCATGCTAGAAAACCTGCCGAGAATCGTACGATTGTCGGCGGATTTCTAGCCTGCTCCTTCAAAAACTGCGGAACAGGCCGGAGTGCGCACGCCTGTTCCGTAGTTGACGAACGAGCAGGCTAGCATTGCATTCAGCCCTCATTGCAGTCATCGGAAGGCCGCCCCTCATTGCAGTCATCGGAAAGGCCGCCCCTCATTGCAGTCATCGGGGCGGGCTTTCGATGATCGCAAGTACTATCTGCCTGTCCAAGATGGGCAGATCGTACGAGCTTTTAATTAGCTTACAACCATCGCAAGAAAAAAGTCTTGCGATGGTTGTAAGGTGTATGGGCGCCTTTAGACTCAAGTTTATAATAAAAGAAGGAAGTCACAAGGTGTGAGCGTGCTTCTTAAGTGATGATAAGTATCTCCTCCATAGTGGAAACCTTCGCAGGGCTCATAAAGTATAAAACCGCTGCTCACAGCCCCCCAGAAATTGATCATATGCATACACATATAACACCCTGGATGGTGTGTAAATCATTGAGTGATCTAAACAATCTCCATACTTCCACAGCCTGGCGTTACTCCTGTCAACATTTCAAAGATCACATGACACATGCTCATGGCATTAGTGAATTATTATTATTATTATTAGAAGAATTAATAATGGTCGTATTATCAGAAATAGGAGTATTAATATGGGAGATATGGGAGGAACAGGAGATACTTCCAGCAATCTGACCTCCGGACTAGGAATATTAAGTTCTATAGTGACTCATTTTGGAGCTACCCCTGGGCAGAATGACCTTTTCTACCGTGTTTCCCCGAAAATATGACTGTTTTGCTGTGTAAAAATGCACACTCACCTGGTGCGTGCGTGTGTTTAGGTTAGTAAATCACCCCCATTGTCTTATATTTTTTTGTGGCTCAAAAAAAAACACACTAGGTCTTATTTTCGGGGTAGGACTTTTTTTTTTTAATGTATAACGATCCAAAGTTAATGCAAATCCAAATTAAATAATCCAAAATGGCAAAGTTAAGAATAGGGTGATCAGGGCAATCAGGGGTGCCGCACCTTTCCAAGAGCATTTTGATAACCAGAATGTACAAAGCGCGCTTTCACTATGGATTTCTCGCAGGCGGAATGCATTTGGTATCACTGCGCCTGTGACAGGAGGCGGGGCTATAGAGGAGGCGTCGGCTTATGCGGCTCTGCTCCCTCCGCTGCCGCCCCGCTTCCTCCAGCGCCAGCTTCTTTGGCACCTCTGATTCTCTCCCGCGGCTCTTCAAGTTTCCCCCTTATGCCGCCACCGGGAATGGTCACAACCAGGTCTTATTTTCGGGGGTAGGTCTTATTTACGGGGGTAGGTCTTATTTTCAAGGAAACTCAGTAGATTATTTTCCTATTCTTTCCTTTCTCTTTCTCAGTGAATGGATATGAGAAGGCTTTATGGTACAGATATATAATACTACTGTTATTATAAGCTTTAAAAAAAAATTTTTTAGGTAGAAGACATGTTGACTGTAAGATGATTATAGCTAATATCCTTTATTTTTTTTTTGTTAATGTGAAAAGCATTTTGAGTTTCAAAGTTTTTATTTTTTTTCCATAAGGTATAGCAAGTTTTAAAACAGATTTATAACATATGTTTCAACAAAAAGGGAAAAAAACCCCAAAACAAAAACAGAAAATTCAACATTTTCAAAACAGCCTTAATTCCCCGCATTCTCCCACCCTTCAGTGGAACATCAAAGCTATCACCAGGAAAGAATTAGGGGAGAACTAGTTGTGATATTAGCCTTCAACTTGGCCCCTGCCTACAATTGCCTTCCAAGGACTTCTATTCACTCGGTTCTAATTTTAGCGGGAGGGAGGGAGCTGCGGCTAGCACTATCTTCAGGGATGTCTGTAATATGAGATCTACCACCGAACTAGGTCTTATTTTTGGGGTAGATAGTGAAGATAGTGCTAGGTCTTATTTTCGGGGTAGGTCTTACTTTCGGGGAAACACGGTATGTGCGCTTGAGATCTCTTGGTATTTCACCAATGCTCCCATACTGTTTCAAATTCTGCGTAGCTATCCTGCAAAATGCTATGTAATTTCTCATGGACCATGATCCAATAAGCCAATAATATCCTTTATTGATGACAACATGGATACGACTTCTCATGTAACGGTCAAAATATCGATTATTGTCTCCAGAACGACTGTTTGCTCCATTTATAATACTATCGTGTTCTTTTGGGGGTTTTTTTATGTGTATTTGAATCTTTCAAAATAAAAAAGTATCAATCAAAAAAATAATAATTAAGAAAAAGGAGATTAGAATGATTCCACCTCAGAGATCATCTATAACCAGAACAGGGAGGAAGCTGAACCCATCAAAGCAAGACATGAATTATACACAAATATACAATTTTCCCAATTTTCACTGATCACAAGATCTCTGCGTCTGGAAACGTCACCATGATTTTATACTTGTATACTCTCTCTCCATATACTGTATATATAATGTATACACATACACACAGCTTTCCCTTTTCTAAAGCTGAAGTCTACATTTAGTCAAATCAGCCGAATGTAACAAAACCCGCCCGGGATTTGACTGCAGGTGACATTTGTTTGGAGTTGGAATGAGAAACGTAGAAAACCAAATTATTATATATATATATATATCTTCTACAAAGCACGAGAACTTTGACGCCGTACACCACACACAGACGTTTCCTTCATCCACACCAAATATAATCATATCTACAAGACCTTATTATTACACCGAGTGGCCAGATTATTATATACGCTGAGTGGCCGGATTATTATATACACCGAGTGGTCGGATTATTATATACACCGAGTGGCCAGATTATTATATACACCGAGTGGCCGGATTATTATATACA